GAACGCGCTTTATATTTCACGTCGTAAAATGTGTCACAGTTATTGTCTCTTAAACTAAAACTTAATTAATATATATATATATGATTATAAGAGACGTCTATACAATGTAATGCTACAAAACTAAATCAAATATACTGGCAGACTCAATACGATTAAACCCATTTCTTATAGAGTAAGGGTGAAAAACAACTACACAGACCACCTGATGATAAGTTGAAGATGATAAGATATTATGACAAATCGATTTCTAAATCTATTGTCGTTTAAAAATTAAAATGCAGATGTGCTTTCTTTCTGCCGATTTTAATTTCATTGAATTCCTCATTTCCAGTGAAATAGATATCCGGTTCTCCACACTTACCATACGAAACACAGTAGCATTAAGCTGCTATTTTACGCTGATATTCTATAAGAACGTGATTTTTTCGCAGTCAAGCCATTCATGTTACAGTAATATAGCTGCGTTATATACAATATATTATATGATGTTTCCGTAGTTTCAAAGCGCCAATGGCCGCGGGTTTAATTCCGTACGGAAAAGTATTTGTAATGAGAAACGTGTATGTATATTGTGTACATATAATATAAACTGCCCCCACGACACGGAAAAAATCCTTGTGTGTTAATATCTTTGAAATATACGAAAAAAATTATTACACTTTCGGACAAAGCCTGTGTTTTAAAGGCAGTTAAACGTCCATGAAATTTTGTTCGCGTCGAAAGTTAATGACTAAACCGGCTGCTCTGACAGAGTGCAACAAGGTGAAATAAAGCACAACTGAAATAATAATAACATTAGATAATTTTCTTTTAAAATTTTCATTTATTTGTGGTTGCGGTCACATAGCTCGAAGAGAAGAAACGTTCTGGTTTTGTAGCATTACTTGAGGAAGGTCTACGTTCAACAGTATATTTCTGATAGGATGTGTAAAGATAATAGTGTTTATGGTTACTGTAATGTTATGATAAATATGGACACTTCATGCATTTTTATTCTCGTGACTGTTGGTATAATAATTTAATTATTTTTTTCCCAAGTGTGTGTGTGTGTGTGTGTGTGTGTGTGTGTGTGTGTGTGTGTGTGTGTGTGTGTGTGTGTGTGTGTGTGTGTGTGTGTGTGTGTGTGTGTGTGTGTGTGTGTGTGTGTGTGTGTGTGTGTGTGTGTGTATGTGTGTGTGTGTGTATGTGTGTGTGTGTGTGTGTGTGTGTGTGTGTGTGTGTGTGTTTTGGAAATTGTTCAAACACTAAAAGACATATTTTCCGTGCCGGAGTCGTAAAATAATATATAATGTTGTCCTGCTACGTGATGTGGTTAGAGCTTTTAGATTAAAATTAAATATTTGTAATTGGCCAATTGGGGTAGAGTCAAGGCGGCTATATTTAAACATGCCAAATTGACTCTTTTTGGCTTCAAATAGATATAGTCGACACTGAAGAATTTTAATTGAATGAAGTTTTAAATATATGCATACTATTTCGTCTTACCAAAAATCTTTAAATTTTTTAATTTATCTTCTCTTCATCTTTATGCTAATCCACTGCGCCAAGGAGCCGTCAAGTATTTTAGAACTTTGACCACTATATATATATATATATATATATATATATATATATATATATATATATATATATATATATATAAACAAAATAAGGGCCACCACGTTTTTACAGTAAGAATTCTTGAGGTTGAAGGGTTGATTAATGATTAGATTGCATAAATTAATTGATTTTTATTGTAAACAGCATAAAAAATGACGGAATAAAAAAAAATTACACCACTTTTTCTGAAAATTTATTTTGTTGAAAAGGAAACAGCGAGATAAAAAATTAAGTGAAAAAAAAACAAATAGTGTTGGTTGATTTGTGGCTTTCCTATATCAATATCTGGCGTTCCCTACTCGTTTTCTAATGCACTCTTGAAGCCTGGAAGGTACACTTTCCACCAGATGTACCACTTTTTCTTGAGGAATTTGTTCCCAGCTTGATTTCAGAATGTTTATTAGCTGTCTTTCATTGTGCAAGGGTTGGTTTGTGCTTCGAACGCTGCGTTTCAGTAAATCCCACATGTGTTCAATGGGATTGAGATCCGGACTATTTGCAGGCCAGAGCATCATTATTTTCATCATCGTCATCGTCATCTTGACATTTTTTTTAAATTTATTATCCATAATATTGTTACATTGTCCAGTACAATACTAGCATATAAACCTCTAGGGGTTTATCTCATCATCATTGTCATTGTTATCGTCATCGTCATCATCATCGTCATCGTCATCGTCATCTTCACCGTCATTCTCATCGTTGTCGTCACCTGATAGGATGTGTTTTGATTTCAATAGCCTCCCGAATCACACTTGGAAGGAATCGGTGTTCTTTAGCGAAGATTAGCGGTCTATCAAATCTAATGTAGTGATGAGGATGATCATTTTGACATAAGATCAGTACGAATTATTGTCCTTGATTTACTCGGAGTGGTCTAATAATTCCATCAATAGTGACGGTTTTGTACCTATCTTCCGTCATGGAGCTTCGATACGGATTCCAAAGTATGGTAGCTCCAGTCATAATTCTACCCCAAAAGGACACCGATTTCCCAACTTTCTGAACCGTTTAAGTCGCAGTTCTTCGCCTTTTAGTCTCCAGGTCTTGAATAATTTTTATTTTTATTAGAATTATCTTAAAATTTTTGGCGGTGGAAGGAAAAGGGGAGATATCCCGCCGGGCAAGGTGTTCTGCCCGGGGAGCGGCCAACACTCCGTGTGATAGTTCGGAGATGTCCTATATATACTGTTTTATGATTCGGAATTTTTAATTCTGCTTTCGGTGTGTTTCGCTTGCGGTGCGACGACAGCGCCGCCACAAATTAAACAACAGTTTCTGTACTCATAAAATTAAATAAAAATAAAATAAAACTAAATGTACGGATTCTATCGCGTTTAATTAACTACTTTTATTTATTTTTAATTCCCGACGTTTCGGGTGCTTTACAGCACTGGTGGTAACGGGGGGGGATTGAAATGTCGGGAATTAAAAAAAAGTAAAAATAAGTAGAAGTAGTTAATAAAACGCGATAGAATCCGTAACTTTAGTTTTATTCAATGTGTAGTGTTCGCGTAAATTTAAGAAATCATTATGTCTCCACGTCTTTTCCAGCCACGGTCACGTCGGTTGTTTGGATGAAAACTAATTTGCGATTCGTCAACGACGAGACAGTTTTGCCAAATATTTTCCTCAAATTTTTCTTCATTTTGCCAGAGCCTAGCCAATAGTTGCTCTGGATTCAGGGATGCTCGCCTAGATATCATTGCTCGTAGATCAGCCTGGTGTTAATGATTCAATATGCACTGAATAATAAATTTAAGTACAGAGGCGGCATAGAGCGCTTTTGAGTAGCAGTCACAACAGTTGGGTGACAACTGCGGGTTGTTGAACTGTATTGTCCATGCCGTGGTACCTCTGCAACGTGGCCGCAACACAGGATTAGGATAGAGCAACTCTAGGTACTATTTATTTCGTGGAGCATCTATCTTCCATTAAAGTTACAAGTCTTGCTTGTAAAACTTCTGATAATCCCTCTTGGTATTTTTTTAATCACAACTTGTCTCGAAAAATATCTTTGATTCGTTAAAATTGACCAAGTCAGATTGATGAAGATCAAAGCTCCAATTGTGCTGGTGGAATTCTTGACTTAAATAAATAATTCTATATGTAGACTATAAAGATAATTTATTTATATTAATTATAATATTAATTTTTGACTGCCTCGTTGGTCTAGTGGTTGTAGTAGTGCGACTTTTGATCGTGTGGTGCTGGGTTCGAATCCCGGGTCGGGCCAATATTTAATTATTGACTTTTTTCGTCAAGAAATTCTCAGTAGTTGCCCAGAGTCAGGAAATTGGCGGTGTCTCACCCCAGTGCCTCGGAAAGCACGTTAAGCCGTTGGTCCTGCGCCTGATCTCTCTCCGGTCGTGTCAGTTTACCGTCCCATCGGATTATGAGAGTGAGGGAATAGAAAGTGCACCTGTGCTTGCGCATACACTTGGGCACTGTAATTCTGTCCTGCGCCGATGGTTAGCATCAGGTGAGGCAGGCCGTCATGGCCGTAATTCGGTCTGGAGGACATGATTATAAAGATAATTTAATAGTTACTGATAAAAGAGTAACCGTTTTGCATGCGTTCGCGACCGGGTAGTTCCGAGCAAGTGGCGTACGTTATTGCGCTGCACTTTGTCCGTGTTCCAGGTGGGACTGCATTCGCAGATCCGGTTTGATGTTCGCTGCCCAGTGATACCAGCCGGGAGAGTAATGGGCTGTTACGTCAGGAACACAGATTTCTATATAAGCCTAAGTTTGGATTGAATTTCTTTTTATACGAGTATTGAAGTATGATTGAATTTGTTTTATCGTTTTATATTCTGGTGCTACATTTTAAAGTAAATAATCTAAAAAGAAGAAGAAATTATAATATAGTCTACCGTAAGAAGAAAGATTTCGACTTTTTGAACTGATCGCCAATTTATTGATGTGTGTATATGTACACAATATTTACTTAATTACTATTTGCTGAAATATAATGAAAAGTATGAAAATTTCGTCATGGTCGTAGAATAATGACGGTTCCAAAAAAACACGAAATTCACTTTTTACCATATTTGGAAACTATATTGCCTAAATATTATCACTACATTAAAGAAAAAATTATATGTATTTCGGATTTCAAAATAATCAGTCGGTAATTAGATGGATTTGATAGGCACTCATAGTAAAATGACGTTTGTATTACCTCGTCATTGTACGACGCGCCGGGATCTCCCGCCGTGTTCTCCTCCCGACTAATCTGCGCAATCGTCACTTTCCGTCGAACTCGCTCACGCGTTGCAGTGGATTAGATTTTTCTTAAATAATTGCACTACTTTTACTTTATTTTCCTGTTTTTTAGCTATTGCGTGCCCAGTTTTTTTTACAAATTATATTAAAAGGTGAGCCACAATGAAAACAGGATGATCAAAGCTTATGTTAAAACTTGTGGAAAAAACAAGCAAAATGCAAAAAGTACGGGTTTTACTCATAAAGAGCGCATGGATGAGGAGGAGTGCATACCTGGGACTCCAGGTAAGTTATTAAATTATTTATTAATATTATAGTATTACTTGATTCTTGTATTTGCACATATTTTGCAAAGTAAATAAGTAAAGCGTCGGTTCTGACTATCCGTCGGTTTTCTACGGAAATTATAAATCAATATAAAGTGTAATTTTTATTAAAATAATATTTGTTCGCTGATATTATTACAATTATTATTTTGTTTTTTTTTCAGTTGTATGTAATTATATTAAATTTTTCTTTGGACCTGATAGTGACGCGTGATTACAAACGACAGTATTTTGTGGACACGCTTTTTTGTCTAACGGTCGTATCTGATCATCCCACTTTGTTCTTTGAACTAAATTCACTTCCGCCATTTTTCTATAAAAACTATGCTTATTTGTATTTATTTAATATATTTTTCTTTAAAAAATATTCAGATTTGAGTAATAATTTACGTATATAAATAAAAAGAAGTACTTTTTTATACTTTCGAATCTTTTTATTATGAATAGTTTTATTGCTTTTAGTAAATGTTGACCTGTGATGTAAATAATCTATTTATTTTTACATATAGTGATATCTTTTCAGAATGCAATTCGCCATTACCTCCAGAATCACGCAACATAATGGAAGAGATGAACGACATTTATGAGGCTGTCTTTTCATATGACGTACACGGAACAAGCAAAATCATAAAATCAACGAAAGAAAATATGAACCCGATCATACCATCATCTACTTGTGTTCTTGAAGAAGATCCTTTTATGGCCGTTTATGAAAATGCATCCTCACCAATTTACTCGCGTCAGAAAATCAGCATGGTGTCGTGCTCCTCTTAAATATCACCTCAGCTTTAACCTCTTTAAATACGTCTACCCTAATATCAGACCTGCCACCTTTCCCGCAACCAATTACTCCGACTGTTGACAACAATGGACAAACACCTATGCCATCACCAGCAAAAACTCATGGTGAGGTATGTACCGACTTTGTTTGTTCCACTCACGATGGTGCAGATATAGCAACTGTCAATCAAACGCCAGCTGTGCTTATAGTTGCTTATTCGATCTAGAGGTAAAAAACCTATCTGAAATTATGACGATTGGGAAAAAAATAAAAGAAAACGCTTAGCAAACGCAGGAAAAGAATACATCTCCAAAAAGGGCGTTATTGTTCAAGCAAAAACTATCGGAAGGCCTTGCACGTGTAGATGTAAATGTTACACTATGTTGACTCTCGAAGAAAAAGACAGGATGCATTTGAAAAGTTTTGGAAGTTAGGTGATCGTGAGAAGCAACTGTTGCATGTTGCGAATTATACTACAAAACGGAAGAAGAAAAGGGACTTTCAAAGATATTTAAAGCATAACCGTCTATTACAAGTATTTAATGCCAAAGGGCTCATAAAAATAGTGGTTTGTAAAACCATGTTCTAAGTACGTATTCGATTAGCGAAAGGTTAGTTCGGACAGCTTGAAATAAATATGACGGAAGCACATTAATAGAAAAAGATATGAGAGGAAAACATTAAAATCATAAGCGGGTTGTTGACGATGAAATGGTAAAGTCGGTTTGTGCCCACGTTAATTTATTTGTACCTGTAGAATCTCATTATAACAGATCAGCGTCCAAAAGAATGTATTTAGATGGTGACTTGAGCATCGCTAGGATGTTCAATTTATACAAAGAATGGCCTGAACCATTATTCAAATACAGCTTCTAGTCTTAAACTGTACAGAGATATAGTTAACAGACATTTTAATTTGAGGTTTCATCTACCCAAAAAGGATACTTGTGATCAGTGCCATAGTTTTAAACTAACACAAAATCTGCCTGATGAACTTAAAGAACAGTATGCAAACCATTGAAATAATACTAGTTTTTACTCAAGGTGTTATCAGGATTCCGAATTACTAACACATCTAGAAAAGCTAAGGAATTGTTTGCCTCTAACTCCATTGTGAACTGAATTTTAGAATTTATAGAGTTAAGATGGTCTAAAAATGCAGTTACTTTATCTAAAGGTAGAATTGTGAAAGTGTCGTCTATGTACCGTAATTCTTGAGCCATACTGTGTATAGAAAAAAGGCCCATAGAGATAGATATTTAAACGGTGATTCTCACCATCATCCTTCACAGTTAGCTACCGTGGGTAAATCTTTGTTTCAGAGAGCACGAGGGATCTGTGACAGTATACACCTGGCTGCCGAGCTCCACCATGTCAAGCAAGTTTTGCATGACAACAGGCTTCGAGTCCCGCGCCTACGTCACAGTGAACAAACAGTAAATATAAGGATCTTATTAGCCTTTGCGATTCTTTAATAATACCTACCAAATATCATAACTATTTCAGAAGTTTACCTCATGGGCGTAATGTTTTTGATAATAACAATGAATCTGATTGAATAATTGTGCTATAGAATTGTGTTTAATAATTCTAGTTACTTAATTTTTTACTGTTTTGATCTCTGAAATTGTGATTTTTAAGGATTTATTCACTTAATTAATGTTTTACTACCCCATCTACTTATAAAAATGATTGTGAAAATAGATAATATAACTTTGCTAAGAAATGTTTAGTGTTTAAGTTTTAGATTAATAATTTACCAAAAAGGAAGTAACCAGGTCCAAATAGCTTCAACATTATAGTATTTTTTATCTATGTAGTACAAAATAATGTTGTTTATAATTACTTAATACAAATTCAGTTTAAAGACTTGACCAAATAGTCTGTTTTATTTATAAGATACCCTACCTACGCCAACCTACCTACCTACTGTACTATTTATTTATCGAACACCTGCCTACCTTCTTACTCATCAAAATATACGTCAAAATAGAATATAACAGATGACACAAGTTTAAAAAATATGCAAGCCAGTGCTGGATTACAATGTCACCTGGTAAATGGTATTGAAGCCCTAGATAGTAAAAATAAATTTTTTAGCTTAAAAAAAACATTACATAACATATTGCATTTAGAAAAAAAGTTTTAGGTTTTTTTTTCATATATTCTGCGTATTAAAGCACTCTAGGTATGTAATTATACCTACAAAATAAAAAAGATCCAAAAGAGAAAAATCCAGTTCTTAATATTTTGTGATATGGGATCGCGAACAAATGCCCTTGTAATTCTCTAGATATCAACGACAAAAGAAAACCAATCTTATATTACATTTAAGATACTCTCTTTCAATAAATCTCTGCGAATAAATCTCAAATATAAACCGATTATGTTTTTTCCCTTTTAGTTAAATGTAATAATATTCTTAACACAAAATCTGCGGTTGCCAACGTGAGTAATAAACCTGACTGCTATATGGCAAAATTGCTGAGGTTATTCACAGAAAAGGTATAATATTATGTTCAGCAGTGGACTTTTACAAGGCAGTTATTATTTTAGTATTATTTAAATATGCCTAATAAATGCTATTTCGTACTTATTACAGCCCAACTCTTTATATATTTTTATTTATTTATTTATTTCCATCGACATAGATTATAGGGTAAAATTACATTCATTCAATTGAATTCTAATATTAAAATTATAAATTATTACTAAAATTAATTATATCAAATGTATTTATAATAACATTGAAAATATAATAATAATAATTTAATAATAATAAAACAACATGAACCAATGTAACCGTTACATACACCATACCCGACCTAATATATATTAACCCTTTCACTCGGCTACCAATCTAATCAGATCATACAATACCTACCTTACGCCCGCTCTAGTACGGGGCTAATTAGATCAGATAATATCAGAAGTACTGCCTTATGAAAAAACTACTTTTTCCTTTAAAACAAAACCAAAGACAATATGCAATAGATAATAGTATCAAAGACAAAGATATGCTCTTTTATTTTAAACCATAACCTGGCAATGTTTCTTAGAAAAAAAAAAGAAATCACTCTGAACTTTCGGCGTTCCACGTGTCGTTTTGATGAAGGTGCTCCGTCTTTTTTTATAGAATTTTATAATTGTGTCTGGACTAAAAACGAAAGTATTATACTTTTTTTATATTCCTTGTAATATAGTGAACACGTAGATATATAATTTGTGGTATAAAAAGTGAAAAGTAAATTGCCAAAAGTGCTTCAAAATCTGGAAGGCCCATTATGGCGGCTGGGTCATAAATGTGTTATTTTTCAAATTCTCATTTATTTTTAGTGTAAAATGTAAGTAAAAATAGTTTTCTTACATATTTCAAATAACTTGACGTTGTATTTATTTCAAATTCACACATAATTATTTTTGAAATATTGTTCTAAATGTCACACAGATAAAATATTATTATTGTTTTTTTATATTTCAATATTTTGGTATTAGTAACAAATGGAAACATATAAAACATAAAAATATACATATTTCCAAACATTTTCATATAAATTTCTCCAAAAACAAAAGTGTAGAATTCAAATTAGTAGTAATTTTGTCACTAAAATTGAAGTATATGGTACTACTATGCTATACAGGGTAATTATATTAAAATTTCTAGCAACCAAAAATAATTTTATTCGATAGTTTATACATTCAACAAGAAATCCTGTAAGTTTTATCCATAAATATTGTCTCAAAGTGAAAATATAGCAAAATTTGCAATATAGCAAAAAATTTGCTAATTTGCAAATTTTCCCGTACCTAACTTAAATTCAGTTACTGGTTTAAGTGCAACACCCCATAAAGTTACAGGTGGTGCGAAATTAGGTTTCTTCATACCACTTTAAACACCCTGAGCTTACTCTTCGCAACATTATATTTTAGACCGTGGGCTTTTGCATACACCTCAAATATGAACAAAAGTCGTCTGAGTGTACGACGGACGGGCTCAGAAGCACAATGTCGTCTGCGTAACTGATGTTGCTCACGAAGAGGCCATTAATAGAGCAGGCGACACGAGCATACCCGAGTCTATGAATGAGTATATATATATATATATATATATATATATATATATATATATATATATATATATATATATATACATATATATCCATACTTTTTTAATATTATAAATGTGAAAGTGTGTTTGTTTGTTTGTCCTTCTTTTACGTCGCAACAGAGAGTCGGCATTGCATGCTTTTTTGTATGGGGTTAGTTTGGTGGCTGTAGAGTGACGTAGTCTCCTTTTTCGTGGAAAAAAGTAACCTATGTCACTCTACAGCCTCATTCCCGTGGGAAAATAGAATATGTTGAAAAAGTTTGTCCTTCTTTCACGTCGCAACAGAGCGTCGGCATGGCATGAATTTTGGTATGGGGATAGTTCGGTGATTTTTCCACAGAAAAACATTTCATTCCCGTGGAAAAATCAAATATGTTGCAAAATTAAATTCAGCTAGGTGGCGCCACCGTGATTCTACAAGACGGACGACGGTACGATGGACGAACACAGAAGGTCAGAATATCTGGATTATTATGTCTTTTTACCAAAATTAAGATAAAAATGTATGGATCTGTATTTTTGCACGCAGGACCGGGAAGAGAGCGATAAAAAACATAAAATTCACTAGCTGATTTTCTTCAAACGTTTTGGTGCATTGTAATTCACAGAATAGGCGATAACCTCGCAGACGATATTAAGTAATCCGTTGATGCTCTGCCTACCCCGCAAGGATTACAGGCGTGATTAGAAGTATGGATCAGAAATACTATCACTACCTGTCACGCTTTCACCCTTAACTGTTACTTAACTGTGGTAGAAACAGTTCTTAGTAAGCCTTGTTAATAAGCCTTAGTAATATTTATTGAACGGAAATGAATACAGTTCTTACATGTGGTTACGAATGAATCGGTATTACAATAAGAAAAATTGTGCAAAATTAGAAGA